ATAACTTAATACGTACTAACAATATCAGAAAAATAAGTTCTCTAAAGAGAATACTAGAAATGAAAGACTATAAAAGAAACTAATAAGCATCTAGGTATCTACTCGCCGTCTTCTTGTGGATCGGGCTCGGGAACCTAGTCCTCCTGATCTGAAATGTAACGGCCCCAGAAATTAAAAAGAAACATATATATAAAAATTCTAAGTGCATAAGTGAAATAAAATATTATGATTAACATCCCTTATACAATAACCAAAACGTATTAAACGTATGAAAGAATAAGCTAACTAAAGTAAATATTAGAAATGAATACTATAAGGAAAATTATAAAATTTTTAGGCATCTACTCGCCGTCTTCCTGTGGAACGGACTCGGAAACCAAGTCCTCCTGATATGAAATAGTGAAGTAAGGAATGAGCTACACTAGCCCAGTAAAGATGTCACACTATCTCACTATCACAGAAGTAAAGGTTGGTAGAAAACAAAAACGACTAATGGAGCATAATTTATAACAAATTCATTTATCAATAATAAAGCTCTTTACTGTCCACTTACCTCGGTGAGATTCATGAAAACAATTTATAAAAACAATAACATTATAATATCATGAAATCATACGTACTCTGTAACATAACACATGTCATACTTTTAATATTTCAATCATCAGGCAACAAATTTCCTTTTTTATCAGCCTACCAGTATCCATGGGATCCATATGGGTCTCTGCTACACGTGAACCATTTACTTTAATAACTTAATTCTAGGGTCGTTCCCATACCCCGTCCGGTATGGGCGCCAAAACGATGAACCTCAATACCCCGTCCGGTATGAGGGTGAAGCAGGCCGTCCCCATACCCCGTCCGGTATGAGCGCCAAAACATTTAAGGTCTCCATACCCCGTCCGGTATGAGAGACAACGTTCCCGGTAGGGTTCCCTATGGACCCGGTCCGTCCACAATCTCCCAGGATATCTAGTGAGGCTGTCGACTTATCCATTTATCAATTCACATACATTTTCTATTCTGTTCCTAGTTTTCTGTTTCTCATATAATCATGAATATTTAAACCAGTAACGAGCATCCAATAATGCAGGCATATCATTGAATTCACAAAATCAAGCCATAATGAAGTAAACAGTGGTGTAAAAATTACATCGAACGGGAATCAGGAAGGGCCTCATCGGAGGTAAAAACTGAGAAAATTCGCGGCGGCACCGCTAGGCTTCAGCGGTATTTTTCGGCCAATTGGCCGGTGGTTTGGCTTCGATTTGGCCATAGGTGGGTTTAGCATCGAAATTCGAGCTAATGAGAGAAATTTTACCTCGTTTGGCAGTCGAAAAGTGCTCCAATGCGGCGGCGGGTGGCGGCAGTCGGTTCCCCCAGCGGCTGGGTTGTCTTCTCCGGTGAGGGCTCTGGTGGCTAGGGTTTGGGGTTGGGTGTGGATGAGATTA